CTGTGTTGCCCTCCCTGTGTATTGGTAGTTTGTCTGTTGCCCTCACTGTCCATTGATAGTTTGTGTTGCCCTCCTTGTCCATTGGGAGTTTGTGTGTTGCCCTTCTTGTCCATTGGTAGTNCGGTAGTTTGTGTGTTGCCCTCCCTGTGTATTGGTAGTTTGTATGTTGTCCTCCCTGTCCATTGGTAGTTTGTGTGTTGCCCTCCCTGTCTATTGATAGTTTGTGTGTTGCCCTCACTGTCCATTGGTAGTTTGTGCGTTGTCTTCCTTGTCCATTGGTAGTTTGTGTGTTGCCCTCCCTGTCTATTGATAGTTTGTGTGTTGCCCTCACTGTCCATTGGTAGTTTGTGTGTTGTCTTCCTTGTCCATTGGTAGTTTGTGTGTTGCCCTCCCTGTCCATTGGTAGTTTGTGTGTTGCCCTCCTTGTCCATTGGTAGTTTGTGTGTTGCCCTCCCTGTCTATTGATAGTTTGTGTGTTGCCCTCACTGTCCATTGGTAGTTTGTGTGTTGCCCTCCTTGTCCATTGGTAGTTTGCGTGTTGCCCTCCCTGTCCAATGGTAGTTTGTGTGTTGCCCTCCTTGTCCATTGGTAGTTTGTGTGTTGCCCTCCCTGTCCATTGGTAGTTTGTGTGTTGTCTTCCTTGTCCATTGGTAGTTTGTGTGTTGCCCTCCTTGTCCATTGTTAGTTTGTGTGTTGCCCTCCCTGTCCATTGATAGTTTGTGTGTTGCCCTCACTGTCCATTGGTAGTTTGTGTGTTGTCTTCCTTGTCCATCGGTAGTTTGTGTGTTGTCTTCCTTGTCCATTGGTAGTTTGTGTGTTGCCCTCCTTTTCCATTGTTAGTTTGTGTGTTGCCCTCCCTGTGTATTTGGTAGTTTGTGTTTTGCCTTCCTTGTCCATTGGTAGTTTGTGATTTGCCTTCCTTGTCCATTGGTAGTTTGTGTGTTGCCCTCCCTGTCTATTGATAGTTTGTGTGTTGCCATCACTGTCCATTGGTAGTTTGTGTTTTGCCTTCCTTGTCCATCGGTAGTTTGTGTNAACCTCCAATCAATACTTAAACAGACAGTAATGGCCAATTAAAATGTCCGAATAATCAATCACTGCTTGTTTCCATATTAAGATTACTAAATTAACACGTGTATGTACAATGTGTAGGTGAAATGTACTACGGTGTAAAATTACTCACACTATCAACCGTTTTTCTTCTACAGAACTACCTCAGTAGTCTGGCCTATGGGGCTGCCTTCCATAATGATCTGTGGTTCGCCCTTGGAAACGTAAGTAATCCACAAGTACGCATGCGTTATCTTGGAAAGGTTAATAACAATAGAAATGAACATAATTTCCCGCCCATTTGAGATAGATGATAGGGATATATGCAAACGATAGCTTTACCAATAACAATCTCAAACATTTAACTTGGTCTATTGATTTGAAAAAGATAAACGTCTCCTGCCGTTGCAGCAATCCATTAAAGAGAACAAGCCCAGGAGTGACGTGAAGTACATCATGGACACGTGGACGCTTCAGATGAATTACCCGCTCGTGACTGTCACCAAAAATGGCGCCAATGGCCTAAAGGCGACACAGAAACGATACCTGATAGACTACAACGCCGTAGATCCGGGTACATATCCCTCACCGTACAAGTAAGTACTACGTATATACAGGTACATCCGGGCACATACTCCTAATCCTTCAAGTAAGTACTTCATCCGGGAAATACCACTAATCTTACAAATAAGTACTACATTCGGGTATTTATATTTCACCCGGCTAGTAAGGCATACATCCCGTAACATACCCCTCACCATAAAAGTAAGTACTAAGTCCGGGTACCAGGGGCGGGTCCAGGTGAGGGCGTAATGGGCGTACGCCCCCCCCCCCCCCCCCCCCCCCTTTTAAAAAAAAAACAACAACCAAACTGTCGTAATCTGCTAATATTGTATTGAATATGGCAATTTATCATATTCATTAATTAAACATATACTCTGAGTTCGTTTTATACTGATTCCCCCATCCGATGGGTGATCCGTAGTTTTTTAGCAAAAAAAAGGTCCAAATTTTTTTACGCCCCCTCTTTCAAATATCATAGAAACGCCCCTGGGAACATATCCCTCACTCTACAAGTAAGTACTACATCCGGGTACTTACCTTTCAACCAACTAGTAAGTCCTGCACCCCGTAACATACCCATCACCGTACAAGTTTATACTATATCACGATACACATCCCGCATCCTAAAAGTAAGTATGCCCGAAAAAGTAATGATATAAGTACGCCATCCGGTAATGACATCTTATCCCACACCTAATTACTGCATGCTGGTATCACTCCCACGCCCTATATGAAAATAAGATTTGGGTCTTTACTGATCTCACTTTATACATAATATTTGGATATCGCTTTTTACTACAATAATGTATGCAGATCGAAACCATCTATGGGTAAACATGTGGTTCTGTTTAGTTACCGCTGGGAAATCCCCTTCACGTACACCACATCTACAAGTCCTAGGTTTGACCAGACGGACGCCGATGTTAAGTGGATGCGTAAAGACTCGGACACAAGTAAGCAGCCCACTCTTCAATATTATCTCTTCATCCATTGTATTTTGTGGGGTTCATATCGTCTGAAAGTTGATGAACATCAACTGTTTGTAGTTTTCTTCTTTCTAAGTGGACAAATTAATGCGAGACTGAATTCTTTATAAACAAGCGTTATACCACCACCCTGTCACCGGAGTGATGGCAGTGACGTTAAACTCTGACCCCACTGTTCTGTTTTATAGTTTACATTGACAACGCTGTAACCAGCAGTGACACGTGGTTCATGGCCAATATGAAACAGTATGGGTACTACCGTGTTAACTACGACTCGGAGAACTGGGCGGCACTCGTAAACCAACTCAAAACCGACCCTCGGGTAAGTCTGGCTCTATAGTGTATTACAACAATAAAACCCGTGTTATTATCCTACCAGACATTTCTACCCTATATAGGACCGTCCTCCATTAGTTACCGCAGTCTACCAACGTTATACGTCTGCCTCTCTTGTACTAACCTAAGCCACCGACACGAATCCCTGTACAGTTCTGGGTTTGGTTTGCTATTGTTTAACGTCCTATTTACAACTAATGCCATTTAAGGACGTGCCTCTGTATGTTTGTGCTGGAGACAGGGTATGTTGATGTAATTGCCTCCTTGTGATAGCACGGATCTGATGTAGACTTTATAGTGCTATCTCACTGAAATACAATTCCGAAGGTACCCAGCACAGCATACATCCCGGTCACATTATACTGACAACGGTTGAACCCATCGTTAAGCAGGGAAATAACAACTACCATTTGAGTCTGGTGATTCCCGGCCTGGAGACCAGCTCTGAAATATACGAATCTATGTAACTGGAATTCTTAGCGGACGTAAACAATCGTATTTGAATAAAGCAACAGAGCGTGTACATTAGTACATATTGAAAACAAGTTGTTGTGAGGTTACAACCTTCTGTAATTATGAAATAAATATCAAGAAACTTAACAACAAATCTTTTTCAAGTTTATTTTCTAGTTGTCTCCTCATAACTTAGCCCATAGCAGAGACCATGTCTTGACGAAAGCACAAACTTCAGAAATGTTGAAACTAAGTCAATTTTACTACGTTCACTGTACACAATTCAGGGGGCTGGCTTCCATGACAATTTCTCTGAAAAGAAGGATGTTGACAGTGTACAGTATTTGTCAGCAGTAACTATTGGAAGGGTATTGCAACAAAATCGTTTTGTTGCACCAGGTTATTCGTTATCCGTACTTTGTTTTATATCACGGTTTGGTACAGGTGATTGACCCGGTCAACAGAGCACAGATTATCAACGACGCATGGAACCTAGCAAAGTAAGTATGTTAATAATACCTCATTCTCGTGTAGATTGTAAACTTGGGTAACTTGTGCTCCCTTAGCCCTTGGCAAATGTACTGGTATCTGCTACAATGTACTACCATCTTGGAATTCGGACTGTTGAATGCACCCGTATATGACACATCGTCATGTGTACGAATTAAATCAATGTTCATCTTCATTATCGTAACATCAACCGCATAGAATTACCTTGGTTTGCCAGGTGAGGATAAGGGGTTACCAGGTGAGGATAAGGGGTTACCAGGTGAGGATAAGGGGTAACCAGGTGATGATAAGGGGTTACCAGGTGAGGATAAGGGGTTACCAGGTGAGGATAAGGGGTTACCAGGCGAGGATAGGGGGTTACCAGTTGAGGATAAGGGGTTACCAGGTGAGGATAAGGGGTTACCAGTTGAGGATAAGGGGTTACCAGGTGAGGAGTTGGGGTTACCAGGTGAGGATAAGGGGTTTCTTAACGTTTGAGATAACTGTAAGGCTTGGTGAAAGACAGACCATTTAGTTTTCTTTGTCAGTTGAGAATCTTTATGTCAAACTGCAATCATTACTGATCATCATTAAAACAGTTGTCTGTAGCTTCACTCATCTAATCAGGCTTGTTCANCCCCCCCCCCCCCCCCCCCCCTTCACATAAATATAGCCCCTCTTCTAGAAACACTGAAAAAGGTTTTCTTCGAAACTACCGACATATTGACATTACTATTATTCTTGCGGTATACAGACATATCACGTGTGCTGTAGTTAAGAAGGGTAATATTGTACTACATAGGTCTTAATCAAAGACTATTTAAATAATAAAGAAATAATAAAAAGATCCAAATATTGCAATGGGCGCAATCAATGGGTCGCTTTTGTGTCCCCAAATAGAGCGCATAAAAACAAATCCCCAATAATGACGGGGGATCCCTCATAAGTCGCCTCTTACGATACATGCAGTGGGTAAAAGCAGAAGTATTTTTTTCTCGATCCCCGACATGCAACGGTGCTGTGTATTGGTAGTTTGTGTTGTCCTTGTCCATCGGTAGTTTGTGTGTTGCCCTCCTTGTCCATCGGTAGTTTGTGTGTTGCCCTCCTTGTCCATTGTTAGTTTGTGTGTTGCCCTCCCTGTGTATTAGTAGTTTGTGTGTTGACCTCCTTGTCCATTGATAGTTTGTGTGTTGCCCTCCTTGTCCATTGGTAGTTTGTGTGATGCCTCCTTGCCCATTGTTAGTTTGTGTGTTACCCTCCCTGTGTATTAGTAGTTTGTGTGTTGCCCTCCTTGTCCATTGGTATTTTGTGTGTTGCCCTTCTTGTCCATCGGTAGTTTGTGTGTTGCCCTCCTTGTCCATCGGTAGTTTGTGTGTTGCCCTCCATGTCCATTGGTAGTTTGTGTGGTGCCCTCCTTCTCCATTGGGAGTTTTTGTGTTGCTCTCCTTGTCCATTTGTAGTTTGTGTGTTGCCCTCCTTGTCCATTGATAGTTTGTGTGTTGCCCTTCTTGTCCATTGGTAGTTTTTGTGTTGCCCTCCTTGTCCATTGGTAGTTTGTGTGATGCCTCCTTGCCCATTGTTAGTTTGTGTGTTGCCCTCCCTGTGTATTTGGTAGTTTGTGTTTTGCCTTCCTTGTCCATTGGTAGTTTGTGTGTTGCCCTCCCTGTGTATTTGGTAGTTTGTGTTTTGCCTTCCTTGTCCATTGGTAGTTTGTGTGTTGCCCTCCCTGTCCATTAGTAGTTTGTGTGTTGCCCTCCCTGTCCATTGTTAGTTTGTGTGTTGCCCTCCCTGTGTATTTGGTAGTTTGTGTTTTGCCTTCCTCGTCCATCGGTAGTTTGTGTGTTGCCCTCCATGTCCATTGGTAGTTTGTGTGGTGCCCTCCTTCTCCATTGGGAGTTTTTGTGTTGCTCTCCTTGTCCATTTGTAGTTTGTGTATTGGTAGTTTGTGTGTTGCCCTCCTTGTCCCTTGTTAGTTTGTGTGTTGCCCTCCCTGTCCATTGATAGTTTGTGTGTTGCCCTCACTGTCCATTGGTAGTTTGTGTGTTGCCCTCCTTGTTCATTGGTAGTTTGTGTGTTGCCCTCCTTGTCTATTGATAGTTTGTGTGTTGCCCTCCTTGTCCATTGGTAGTTTTTGTGTTGCCCTCCTTGTCCATTGGTAGTTTGTGTGGTGCCCTCCTTCTCCATTGGTAGTTTTTGTGTTGCTCTCCTTGTCCATTTGTAGTTTGTGTGTTGCCCTCCCTGTCCATTGATAGTTTGTGTGTTGTCCTCCTTGTCCATTGGTAGTTTGTGCGATGCCCTCCTTGTCCATTGGTAGTTTTTCCGATGCCCTCCTTGTCCATTGGTAGTTTGTGTGTTGTCCACCCTGTCCATTGGTAGTTTGTGTGTTGCCCTCCCTGTCCATTGGTAGTTTGTGTGTTGCCCTCCTTGTCCATTGATAGTTTGTGTGTTGCCCTCCTTGTCCATTGGTAGTTTGTGTGTTGCCCTCCTTGTCCATTGGTAGTTTGTGTGTTGCCCTCCTTGTCCATTGGTAGTTTGTGTGTTGCCCTCCTTGTCCATTGGTAGTTTGTGTGTTGCCCTCCTTGTCCATTGGTAGTTTGTGTGTTGCCCTCCTTGTCCATTGGTAGTTTGTGTGTTGCCCTCCTTGTCCATTGGTAGTTTGTGTGTTGCCCTCCTTGTCCATTGGTAGTTTGTGTGTTGCCCTCCTTGTCCATTGGTAGTTTGTGTGTTGCCCTCCCTGTCCATTGGTAGTTTGTGTGTTGCCCTCCTTGTCCATTGGTAGTTTGTGTGTTGCCCTCCTTGTCCATTGGTAGTTTGTGTGTTGCCCTCCTTGTCCATTGGTAGTTTGTGTGTTGCCCTCCTTGTCCATTGGTAGTTTGTGTGTTGCCCTCCTTGTCCATTGGTAGTTTGTGTGTTGCCCTCCTTGTCCATTGGTAGTTTGTGTGTTGCCCTCCTTGTCCATTGGTAGTTTGTGTGTTGCCCTCCTTGTCCATTGGTAGTTTGTGTGTTGCCCTCCTTGTCCATTGGTAGTTTGTGTGTTGCCCTCCTTGTCCATTGGTAGTTTGTGTGTTGCCCTCCTTGTCCATTGGTAGTTTGTGTGTTGCCCTCCTTGTCCATTGGTAGTTTGTGTGTTGTCCACCCTGTCCATTGGTAGTTTGTGTTGCCCTCCCTGTGTATTGGTAANCTCCTTGTCCATTGATAGTTTGTGTGTTGCCCTCCTTGTCCATTGGTAGTTTGTGTGTTGCCCTCCTTGTCCAATGGTCGTTTGTGTGTTGACCTCCCTGTCCATTTGTTGTTTGTGTGTTGCCCTCCTTGTCCATTGGTAGTTTGTGTGGTGCCCTCCTTCTCCATTGGTAGTTTGTGTGTTGCCCTCCTTGTCCATGAGTAGTTTGTGTGTTGCCCTCCTTGTCCATTGGTAGTTTGTCCGATGTCCTCCTTGTCCATTGGTAGTTTTTCCGATGACCTCCTTGTCCATTGGTAGTTTGTGTGTTGTCCACCCTGTCCATTGGTAGTTTGTGTGTTGCCCTCCTTGTCCATTGGTAGTTTGTGTGTTGCCCTCACTGTCCATTGGTAGTTTGTGTGTTGCTCTCCTTGTCCATTGGTAGTTTGTGGGTTCCCCTCCCTGTCCATTGGTAGTGTGTGTGTTGTCCTCACTGTCTTTTGTTAGTTTGTGTGTTGCCCTCCTTGTCCATTGGTAGTTTGTGTGTTGCCCTCCTTGTCCAATGGTCGTTTGTGTGTTGACCTCCCTGTCCATTTGTTGTTTGTGTGTTGCCCTCCTTGTCCATTGGTAGTTTGTGTGGTGCCCTCCTTCTCCATTGGTAGTTTGTGTGTTGCCCTCCTTGTCCATGAGTAGTTTGTGTGTTGCCCTCCTTGTCCATTGGTAGTTTGTCCGATGTCCTCCTTGTCCATTGGTAGTTTGTGTGTTATTGGTAGTTTGTGTGTTGCCCTCCTTGTCCATTGGTAGTTTTTCCGATGCCCTCCTTGTCCATTGGTAGTTTGTTTGTTGTCCACCCTGTCCATTGGTAGTTTGTGTGTTCCCCTCCCTGTCCATTGGTAGTTTGTGTGTTGCCCTCCCTGTCCATTGGTAGTTTGTGTTGCCCTCCCTGTGTATTAGTAGTTTGTTTGTTGTCCACCCTGTCTATTGGTAGTTTGTGTGTTGCCCTTACTGTCCATTGGTAGTTTGTGTGTTGCCCTCCCTGTCCATTGATAGTTTGTGTGTTATCTTCCTTGTCCATTGGTAGTTTGTGTGTTGCCCTGCCTGTCCATTGGTAGTTTGTGTGTTGCCCTCCTTGTCCTGTTGTATTTTGTGGGTTCCCCTCCCTGTTCATTGGTAGTTTGTGTGTTGCCCTCCCTGTCCATTGGTAGTTTGTGTGTTGCCCTCCTTGTCCATTGGTCGTTTGTGTGTTGCCCTCCTTGTCCATTGGTAGTTTTTGTGTTGCCCTCACTGTCCATTGGTACTGTGTGTGTTGCTCTCCTTGTCCATTGGTAGTTTGTGTGTTGCCCTCACTGTCCATTGGTAGTTTGTGTGTTGCTCTCCTTGTTCATTGGTAGTTTGTGTGTTGCCCTCCTTGTCCATTGATAGTTTGTGTGTTCCCCTCCCTCCCCCTTGGTAGTTTGTGTGTTGCCCTCCTTGTCCATTGGTCGTTTGTGTGTTGCCCTCCTTGTCCATTGGTAGTTTTTGTGTTGCCCTCACTGTCCATTGGTACTTTGTGTGTTGCTCTCCTTGTCCATTGGTACTTTGTGTGTTGCCCTCACTGTCCATTGGTAGTTTGTGTGTTGCTCTCCTTGTCCATTGGTAGTTTGTGTGTTGCTCTCCTTGTTCATTGGTAGTTTGTGTGTTGCCCTCCTTGTCCATTGGTAGTTTGTGTATTACAGATCGGGCGACCTACCCATAGAGACGGCCCTCAGTACGGTGGAGTACCTAGACATGGAACCGGAGTATATAGTGTGGGAATCGGCCGTCGGGGAGCTGGGATACGTGAAGTCGATGTTGGAGAGGACAGAGTTATACGGCTCATTTAGTGTAAGTATATTGTACAGCCTACCTGTAGCTAACGTCCCTTTATATCAACTCTCGTTCTGATAGGCCTATAATGTTTCGTGATAATCATGTTAACTCTCGCTCTGACCTAATGTCATGTGATAATTATGTTAACTCTTGCTCTGATCTAATGTCACGTGATAATTATGTTAACTCTAGTTCAGATAAAATATCATGTGATAATTTTCTTCATTTGCAAAATATGGTAGATTGTACAATAACATCACAATAATCAAAATGTCTTTTTTAATAGGATTGATTTTGAAAATTAATTTATGGCAGCAAATTTGTTAGAACCTAAATACTCAATTACTCATTCAAATATAGCAATAGTGGCTTTGATTAAGAAACTACAAATGATAACAATAATGATTACTTTCAAACGATTAAAAGGTAGATATTGTTTCTTATTTACAACAACAAAATTCTTATTTCCAAATTAATAATAAATGATAGTAAACCTTACACATCATGTCAACCAATAGTAAACCTTACACATCATGTCAACCACTAGTAAACACCTATAGTTGGGGCCTGTTTGTGTGTAAATGAAAGGATGACTACGGTCATGGATAACAAAATGGGATATTATTATGACTCCAAATATTTTCGTCGAAATATCAAGAGCTACAATTTTTTTAAGAAAAAATCAACAGTTATCAATGACTTTTTAGATAGTTTGGTAAATGTGTATTGTATCCACGTTAACATCATGGATCTAAAATAGGTTTTTACCGGTATAACTATCAGACTTCTTGCATCTTCTAAAATTATAAAATCTTAATAATATGATTATATCTTAATAGCAAAGAAGTGCTACTAACGATTACAACAAATACAGGTAGTGAGACATATTATTTTTGTATTTTATAAAACAGTGCCCATGAAATGCTAAAATATCTATTTGTTACAGAAATTTATGGAAAATAAAGTACGAGATCCTTTTACGAGAACAACATTAAATAATACAGGTGCCTCCCACTTGGAATCGTGAGTATGAGTTACACAAAGTACTCCAGATAACTGTGAACCATTCAGCAGAATATTGCTGTCCATAATATATCACATCTATAGTCAAGTGACTGAGTAATGAATCAACTGAAGTATATGGTATACATATTTCCACTAACAAACATATAAAACTCGCACAATCGCAGCCGCTAGATTTCGACGACAAAGTCCCGTGTTTAATAGATCGATCAGAGTTGTATAGCCTGCTATTATGGTCAGTTTTAGCGGACTCGGTTGTTATTTCACAAACTTACAAAACATGGAGGAATATCATATTGTGAACAATAGTTTTAGTAGGACTAGCTATGGGATTCTCACAATTACCTCAGAGTTACACTTGTACAATATATGATTTATGATATACAGTGCATTGTCATCACCAGATATTTCCGGGCGACGCTGGCTTCCCAAGCATGCGGTTACGGTATCGACCAGTGTGTCACCGAATCTAGACAGTTGTTCGCTTCATGGTTACAACATCCGGACGCACCAAACCCGTAAGTGTGAGGTCAACAGTAATTGTGAGGTCAATAGTAAGTGTGAGGTCAACAGTAATTATGAGGTCAACAGTAAGTGTGAGCTCAACAGTAAGTGTGAGTTCAACAGTAATTATGAGGTCAACAATAAGTGTGAGCTCAATAGTAAGTGTGAGGTCAGCAGTATGTGTGAGGTCAACAATAAGTGTGAGCTCAATAGTAAGTGTGAGGTCAACAATAAGTGCGAGGTCAACAGTAAGTGTGAGCTCAATAGTAAGTGTGAGGTCAACAATAAGTGTGAGGTCAACAATAAGTGTGAGCTCAATAGTAAGTGTGAGGTCAGCAGTAAGTGTGAGGTCAACAGTAAGTGTGAGGTCAACAGTAAGTGTGAGGTCAGCAGTAAGTGTGAGGTCAACAGTAAGTGCGAGGTCAATAGTAAGTGTGAGGTCAACAGTAAGTGTGATATCAACAATAAGGGTGAGGTCAACAATAAGTGTGAGGTCAACAGTAAGTGCGAGGTCAACAGTAATTTTGAGGTCAACAGTAAGTGCGAGGTCAACAATGAGTGTGAGGTCAGCAGTAAGTGCGAGGTCAACAATAAGTGTGAGGTCAACAATAAGTGTGAGGTCAACAGTAAGTGTGAGGTCAACAGTAAGTGCGAGGTCAACAGTAAGTGTGAGGTCAACAATAATTGTGAGGTTAATAGTAAGTGTGAGGTCAACAGTAAGTGCGAGGTCAATAGTTACCGTTTGGTAAAACATGAAAACATGTATGCGACGTTCAATGTAATAATATTCCCCGAGGGGAGATTCACATATATTGTAGTTGGTGTTATAGTTTTGTATTATATATTTTTTTAAAGCTACGAGTGTTTTACGCAAAAACTTATCATTACACATAAAATGAATTCTTGAACATCTATTATGTGACTTTGGTTTGTTAAGATATTTTATATCAATTTTGAAGAGTGGTCTGTTTGGTTGGAGATTATAAGATTTTGATAGGACTATACCATCTTTTCTTGGTTATTTTTTTAAATAGCCGTGTTTGTGATTCCTATTTATAACAACACACTTAATATATGATATGGTTTCCAACTTTGTGTGGTTTAGTATCGATGCCTCACTGAGGGGGACAGTGTACTGTACGGCCATCGCTCACGGCGGGGTGGAGGAGTGGGACTTCGCCTATCGTATGTTCAAGGCCTCCAATGTGGCAGGGGAACAGTCCCGACTCATGGGCGCTCTAGCATGTAGCAAGGAGACGTGGGTCCTTAGCAGGTAACACACACTGGCATCGCTGTATCAGTAATGTATTTTTGAATTATCAAACATGGAAACTTTGTTTCTATATACTTGTTATGGGTCATTTTTAACCGTTAAACATATTATGTCACAGGAAAACGATTGTGGTTTGTCACAATTTCTGGCTTAATAGTTAATAATGAGGAGTAGTTTCAAAGTTTAAACAGCATAAAGCGGAGAAGGAAAATTGGTCAGCATCATCCGTATTCTTCTCAAAACCATACATTGTTAACCTAACCCTGTGCTATATTTAATCCCGTTTTGTATATTTTTGACACATTGTCATGCCTTTCTGTTTGACGTGCCTTGGATCTCTACAGATATTTAGTATACGCCATATCGCCCGACAAAATCCGGAAACAGGATACCACTAGTGTTATCTCTTATATATCTAATAACCCCATCGGGAGGGCTCTCGCCTGGGATTTCGTCCGGGGAAATTGGGATTTCCTAATGAACGAGTAAGTATGGAAGTTGTATTTGTTTTAAATCCTCTCATACATGACATGTGTACACTTGGTAATATACACGTATTTACTACCTGTGTCTTTTCACGTATTGTGCTTGTTCAGACATACGATTTTGAGTTCAAAATAAATATATTGAGTTAGGAGCTACATTAGCTATTTGATTTGACCCCCCAAAGCTATTTCTATTTCAAAATACGTTACCACAGTCATTGTAATGCATATTCCAACCTTACTTGGCTCTTTACATACGTAAATAAAGATTTTTTCCCCCCATGGGGAACCCCTGGGAAACCCACCAATCAGACGGCAGTATTCACGCACGTGATAAGACACGAAGCCATGCTTCTCACTTCATAATTCCTTCAGCCGGCCGTGTTTACGGACGTGTTTTGGCTTCTACGGGGTTCCAACTGCTACTGGCGTTGTTTGTATCCATACATATTGTATCCTTTAATACTATATAACTTTATTTTGTTTTAATTTAGCGTTTTGCTTTATTTTGCGCCGTTTTGCGACCAGGCTCCGGCCACGTGTTCGCGTTTTGACGGTTTGTTTACTTTGAAACTCCTCCTTCTCAAAGGCGCTGTCCTGGGGGTCATTTATTTTAGGCTTCCGACCCCCACCCTTACTGTCCTGGCTGTCGGTCTTGCTCTCTGGAGCAGCCGTGTGACATTTGCCGTGCCTGGCAGCCGACTCCTGCCGGTGGTTCTCCCCGCCCGCGAGGGCGTGCAGGTA